TCAGTGGCTAAGGCACTGAGCTTGTCGAGCAGAAAGGTTGGCAGTTCAGTGGTTCGAACCCCTAGCGCCACGTCACGGAGGGAGCTCCCGTTCCTTGTCCCGGCTTCTGCCAACCTAGCAGTTCGAAAGCATATAAAAAAAAATGCAAGTAGAAAAATAGGGACCCCTTTGGTGGGAAGGGAACAGCATTCCGTGTGCCTTCGAAGGCATTTAGTCCTGCCGGCCACATGACCACGGAGACGTCTTCAGACAGCACTGGCTCTTCTTCGGCTTTGTAATGGAGATGAGTAGCGCCTCCAGAGCCGGAAAACTACTAGTACATATGTGCAAGGAGGGGAACCTTGACCTTTACTTTTATACTCTTTCTAGGGCCTCAGCAATTTTTAAAAATATTGTGATGACCAGAACTGCATGCAGACTCCAAATGTGGTCCCACTAGATTGGTATAAAGCAGTAGTATCACTTCTCATGACCTTGATGCTATCCCTCTCTTGATACAGTCCAGCACTGCGTTGACCTTTTGGGCATCTGCAGCACACTTCTGGCTCACACTCCAGCAATCGTCCATCAGGACACCTCAATCCCTCTCACAGGTGCCCCTGTTGAGCCAGGTGTACTTTTGAATGGCATTTTTGGGTGGACAGCTTCCCGTGTGGAAAGCTGAGATGCTTTCTTGTCCTTGCATATCTCTTGTCAACTTGTAAAGCATTCCTATGCCTGTTTTCGAGTTGCCATAAACTGGGGGTGGGGTGGGGGTTGGAACCTGAAGGAGCAGTATGGCATTTTAAACCAGAAGTACATTCCATGCTTATCTTACAAAGATTGTAGCCTAGGCTACCAGATCTTCTGCTCAGGAAAATCCTTCATTGGAGAATGTGATTGATGCTACCCAGACTCTGAATGTGCTTTGTTGGAGAATCTGATTTATGACACACCCAGACAGGAGGGGGGAAACAGGGTCACAGGTGACTATAAATTACACGTGGCAGAGTTGGCTTCATATGGCTCAATGCCAACATGTTGCTCCTAATAAATCTTTTGGATTCTTTTGAAGCTTGGCTCGAGGGTTATGATTGAATTAGGGCAATCGTCGGAACCCTGACATCTCTTTTCTTAGAGGTCAAGCGTGGTGTGAAGGCCCAGGATTCAGAATCTTTACCTTGCTCTCCATGACTGCCTTGAAAGATGATTCAATCTTTCTTTCGAAGAGGTTATACAGCCACCTGCAAAAGCAAAGACCACACCCATGAGGCTCATCGTCCATAGCTTGGTGAATTGACCCTCAAAAGCCTCTGTGGCTTCTTCAAGAGCTCAGAAAAAACAAGGGGATATTTCCTGTTTCTCTTCCTCATCCTTGATTGTTTTTTTTAACATCTAAAGGGGTTCCATTGTCAACTCATAAAGCATTCCTATGCCTGTTTTTGAGTTGCCATAAACAAGGGAGGGGGCGAGGAAATCTGAAGGAGCAATGCAGCAGTTTAAAAACCAGAGGTACATTCCAGTACTTATCTTACAAAGATTGTAGCTAAACTATCGGATCTTCTGCCCATGGAAATCCTTAATTGGAGAATGTGATTGATGACACCCAGCATGTGAATGTGCTTAATTGGAGAATCTGATTTATGACACACCCAGGGGGAGGGAGGGGGGAAACAGGGTCACAGGTGACTGTAAGTTACATATGCCAGAGTTGGCTTCATACAGGTTAATGCTGGACACATTGCTCCTAATAAATCTTTTAGTTTCTTTTGATATCCAGCCAGTTCAGATTAGTTCTAGGAGAGTGAAGCGCGCTATCATAGAACCGGTAGGAAAAAATTTGGAATCCCACCACTGCATAGAAGACCCTATGGAGTTGAGGGGCGTCTGATATTTCTAGATCCTGGAGCACCTGGGAACTACCAGAGGACTGGAAAAAAGCAGATGTGGTTTCCATCTTCAAAAAAGGGGGAAAAAACAGACCCAGGAAACTACAGACCAATCAGCCTAACATCAATACACAGGAAGATACTGGAAAACATAATAAAAAAACAGATCTGCCAACATCTAGAAACAAGTAAAGTAATAACTAGCAGTCAGCACGGGTTTGTTAAAAACAGATCATACCAAACCAATCTCATTTCATTCTTCAACACAGTGACTAAATTAATAGACCAGCAAAATACTGTGGACATAATATATTTAGATTTCAGCAAGGTATTTGACAAAGTAGACCACAATCTACTTCTTGATAAGCTAGAAAAAAGTGGAATAGACAGCACCACCACTAGATGGACTCACAACTGGCTGGCAAACCATACTCAACGAGTAGTCCTTAATGGGTCTAAGTCTACATGGAGGGAAGTAAGCAGTGGGGTGCTACAAGGTTCCGTCTTAGGCCCAGTACTCTTCAATATCTTCATTAACAAATTAGGTGAGGGAATAGAAGGGGAACTTAACGAATTTGCAGATGATACTGAGGTGGCAGGAATAGCTAACACCCAAGAAGATAGGCTGAAGATCCAGATGGATCTTGACAGACTAGAACACTGGGCCGTATAACAAAATGAAATTCAATGTCGAGAAAAGTAAAAGGAAAGAAAAATCAAAAGTACCTATATAGACTGGGTAAAACCAGGCTCAATAGCAGGAACTATGTGGTTTGAGCTTCTTCAGCGACAGACCGAAACCTTGTTTCTGCGAGGCTTCGATCCGTGCTCGCCGCTGGAGCGCCCCAAGCTGGCTGGTTTCGGGGCTAAGCCACCCCGTAGAGGTGGTGAAGAGGGGGGAGACTGCCAGCAGGGTTGAGGAGAGCCGCATCTCTCCTCCCCAGCTGGCCATTACTCCCTTTCCCGAAGGCAGTTGCAGCAGTGGTCAGAAATGGCCACCACAAAGAAGAACTCGACCGGAAAAGAATGTGCAGGAGGAAGATAAGAAGAGAAAGTTTTGGTTGACCGGGTCAAACAGCAAAAGCAACAAATAAGGTACCCTGGAATTGAAACTATTAAAAAAAAACAATAACATTGTTCCCTAAGAAGATTTTTAAGCTGCAAAGGAGAAAGACAAGGGAAAAGGTTTGGTTTTTTTCTTCTCCTTTTCCTATACTGAAATTGGAAAAAAATCCACTTTTACATCAATAGGCATTTAATGCTGAAAATAAAAAGTCAAGGGGATAATAAAGATTTCTGGATAATTAAAAGCTTTTGAAAACAGGAAAGGAGAGAGGAAGAATAGAAGGGCAGGATCTGGAAGGGAGGAGACTGCCTGGAATTAAAAAGAACTTACAGCAAAATCTCAACAAGACTTCCAAAAGATACATTCTAACTGAAATATCACAAGAAAAACCCCAGCAAGAGAAAGTGGAAAAAGAAATAAGAAGAAATAACTTGGGACTATTTGGATTACTTGATGATTTCTGGATTTTTGGTTATTGTATTTGAATGACTAAAATCAATTGGGTGGTTGTTTAAAACTGTTTAAAATGGCTCCACTTTTAGAAGAACTGAAAATGGAACTTAAAAAGTACAAAGAAGATGCACAAGAAGGGAGCGGTTCTTTTGGCTTCTCATTTCAGTTTTTAGAAATGGAGATTTGGAATTATGAGAGACAACAAGAAATGCCTGCAGAACAAGAAGATTGTGACAAAGAAGAAGCCACCTTTAATGAACAAGTAATCTTAGGTGGGGGGAAAAAAGGAAAGGGGGAAAAGAGAATGGAAAGTATAAGATTGGAAAAAACAACTCAAAAAAAAAATAGAGTGAAAAATAAGTATAAAATCAGAAAGGAACAGAAGAGAGAAATGCAGAAGAGAGAATTAGAAGTAGAGAGACAAGGGGGTAAAAAGGGGAGGGAGAAGATGAAAGGGAAGAAAGAAAGGAAAAGAAGTTATAAAGGACAGAAACAAAACATAGAGAAACGGGGCCTATTTAGAGATAAGGGGTGAAAACTTAATAGAAAAAGGGATTCTGCAAAGGTACATAAGATAGTATGGTTATATTAGAAATAGAAATAATTTTAGAAAATATGAAACAATGTATGATTAAAATGTTTGATAAAATAGCTATTGTAATTCAGTGGAATGCTTTTTAATAAACAAATGTAACAAAATGAATATTTAATGATTTACAAAACATATGTGAAGAGAAATAAGGGAAAAATTAATTATGGAGATTATATGTGTCTTTAAGGAAGTATGATATTTAATTGAAAAGAAGTGTTAAAGATGTTAAGATTTTAATGATTATTAATGATAGAACTGAATTGGAATGGAATGAGGGTTTATAATTACATATATTTATAATCTTTTTTTAAAACAATATAGTGTGTATTATAAGAATGTACCAAGCAGAATTCAATTGGAAGTTATGTATTATGTATTATATTGAAGGTCATAACCTTAAGGTATATATTGAAGTTTAAATAAGAGTTGAATGGATGTAATTAAAAGATATAAAGGTGTCATATTCCAATTAGTAACTACAGGAGAAAATTTGTTTAATGAGAAAAGTTAATATGAAATTGAAACAGAACGGACAAAAGTATAAATATAATGATTTGAATTGAGATGAGATAATCAAAATAAAATTGAGAAAATTAAAAGAGGGGAAAAACTATACAGAAAATGTAGAATAGTATAAGATATGGAATAGAACACAAAAAGGAGCATGAAATTGAGTTTGGTGTCTGTATAAAGAAGTTCAACCCGGGACCATGCTATTTTCAAAAAAGATGCTTTACTTGTATTTTTTATGTGTGAAAACCCAAATAAAACTTTATTAAAAAAAAAAGTGCAGGAACTATGAGAGGGATCTTGGAGTCTTAGTGGACAACCAGCTAAATGTGAGCCAGCCGTGTGCAGCCGCCGCCAAAAAAGCTAATGCAATCCTAAGTTGCATTAACGGAGGGATACAATCGAGATCCAGGGAGGTACTAGCACAACTCTATAAAGCCTTAGTAAGGCCACACCTAGAGTCCTGCATCCAGTTTTGGTCACCACACTATAAAAAAGATGTTGAGACTCTGGAAAGAGTGCAGAGAAGAGCAACCAGGACAATGAGGGGACTGGAGACTAAAACATACAATGAACAGTTAGTTGCAGGAACTGGGCCTGGCTAGTCTGGTGAAGAGAATTACCAGGGGAGACATGGTAGCGGTCGTCCAATGTTTGAGGGGCTGCCACAGAGTGGAGGAAGGGGTCAAGCTATTTTCTAAAGCACTTTGAAGGCCAGACAAGGAATAATGGATGGAAACTGAACCTGGAAATAAGGAGGAACTTTCTGACAGGGAGAACCATCAACCCATGGAACAGAAGTTGCCCTCAGAAGTTGTGGGAGTTTTGTCACTGGAAGCTTTCAAGAAGAGACTGGACTGCCATTTGTCAGAAATGGTGTAGGGTCTCCCGCTTGGGTGGGGGGTTGGACTAGATGACCTACAAGGTCCCTTCCAATTCTGATTATTTGTTATCTGTTATCTGAACAATGGGATCATGAGAGACACCAAGACCATTTGAAGGTTATGCTTAGTGTGGTGGTGTCTTATGCGTCAAATGGACCTCTTTAAAATGTTCACTCTGATCTCCACAAGGGAATATTTTCCATCTCTCTGTTGTTTTAATAGTTAACATTTACAACATTTGTAAGAGGTGCCACCTGAATGACACAACCTGGAAGTAATTGGACTGTGGGGTCTTGGATTGCTGGTGAGATGCTTTGGTCTTTGTGTTTTCTTTTCGACATTTTGATCAGCTCTTTTGAATAGTATGTAAATGCTGCTTATCTCTATGTGCCTGTTGATGTTTGATTTGACTGAGTGCCAGGCTTCCTGGAATCCAGTCATTAACAGGCACATAGAGAAAAAGAACCTTTACATACCATTCAAAGGGAACAATAAGAAAAGAAAAGAAAAAGAAAAAAGAAAACAAAAAGACCAAAATCATTGCTCACCACCAATCCACAACCAAATAAGCAAAGATTAACATCAAGATTAACACTAAACCAACAATCGCTAACTAACGTTAGCAAACAATACCCCAATCAAGAAACTACTAACTAACAGACAGTACAGAATAACAGAGTTGGAAGGAACCTTGTAACTCATCTAGTCCACCACTGGCCTGATCTTTCTTTGCACTGGGTAGAGTGGGCTGATGTTTCCTCTTCAAATTGGGTAGACCAGGATGGCCCTGTAGGCTGAATCCAACCACATCGCAGGCTGGATTCGGCCCCTAGGCCTTGAGTTTGACATCCTGGTATAGGATCTTCTGCCCTGAGTAGGGGGTTGGATTAGATGACCTCCAAGGTCCCTTCCAATCCTTTTAGTCTATGTTCTATCTATGTTCTAAATAAATCATGTTTAACCCTACTTCAGACCTTCCACTTCCCTGGGAAGGAGGACGACGTTATGGTGAGAGGTAGACAGTATTCATATGAGGAACCCTCTATGACTATTAATGAAAATCAACCTACTCCCATTTGCCAGAAATATCAATGTCGACATTGGAAATGTGGGTGGTGCAATCCAAGGTGGTAACCGTTGGTCTCCCAGTGTCATCGCTCCCCAGCTTCAAGCCCACAGAGATGGAGATGCCATCAAGCTTCAGTTCAAAGGAGCCATCATCCTTCCTGGTAGGAGACACAATATACAGAAGTATTCACAAAAATCTCAGCCTCTTGAGTGATGACGAAGGTACCATCCTAAGGCTAGGCTGAAAAAGGTACTCCTACCACTCAGTTCCTCCTTGTGTCCCCACCTACTGCTCAAACTGATAGTATCACTTTTGACCACAGGGCATGACCTTTGAGGACTTCAACAGTCATCTAAAGGCCAATATCTATTTATTTATTAAATTGATTTGCCACCCACATCACTATCCAGAGGCTTACAATGGCAAAAAGAAGAAGTATAAAAGCATTAAAATTAACAACAATTCAATAACAGTAAAAAGCAAGGTGGGCTTTTGTTTCTCACTCAACTCAACTAACTTATCAACTTATGCAACTCAACCAACTCATTCAACTCACTTAATCAGCCAACCAACTAACCAACCAAATTCAACTCAACCAACCAACTTATCCAACTCATTCAACTCAACCACCCAATCAACCTATGCAACTCAACCCACCAACCAACTCATTCAACTCACTTAACCAACCAACCAACCAACCAACCAATTCATTCAACTCAACCAACCAATTTATCCAACTCATTCAACTCAACCAACCAACTTATCCAACTCATTCAACTCAACCCACCAACTTACCAACTCATCCTATTCACTTAACCAACCAACCAACTCAACCAACCAACCTATTCATTCAACTCACTCAACCAACCAATGCCTCCTACCAATATTGGATGAGCCCTCTGGAGACCCAAAGAACTACATCTGAAGATTTCTTCTGGACTTGGTCTCACATGGAGAGGCAAGACCTTGACCATGGATTGATTTCATCCCATGCTGTAGATGAGGCTGAATTTCCAGGTGTTGCAGAGGTTCAACTGGTAAATAATTAATTTGCCCAGTTGCCTGGAAGGGGCATTGGGGACCCCAAGCTCATAGAAGTGATGTGGGAGTATTTTTCTGAACCAACAGAAAAAGGTAAGGAGCAATGAGACTCACAACCAACGTTTCTTCAGCTCCCAGTGGCCGGTCATTTCAGCCAAAGCATTGCTGACGGAGACCCTGAGGCCCTGGCCCGGCATGGGTTCAATTGTTGAGTGGAATAGCTCGAACCGACGGATGTTCAGACTGCAAACAAGGATAGAGAAAAGAAAAAAAAGCTTTTGAGTTTGTGAGCTGAGTGTCTGGGCTCAATTTTGCCCACAGTGTGTTCAACCAGGTCCATTAAAGACCCAATTACATACAATTTGCTAAATTCCATTAGGTGTCAATGTGAGAATCTCTGCATGCATACAATTTGTTAAATTTATGCTTCAAAATGAAGTGCAAAACCAGGAAATTGAGTCATCCATCAAGCAGATCTAGTAGGAAGTTCAAGTTGACCAAGACTTTGGTCTCTCAAGGAAGACCAAGCAGGATTCACTGTGGGGCTCTGGGCTTGGGGATTGCAGGTGGTCCTTGACTTATGACCACAACTGACCTCAAAAATTATGTGAAGTGAGACATTTTGTTATGTGAGTTTTGCCCCCATTTTATGACCTTTCTCGCCACAGCTGTTAAGTGAGTCATCGCAGGTGTTAAGTTTTCTTTGAAGACATTTCGCTTCTCATCCAAGGAGCTTCTTCAGCTCTGACTGGATGGTGGGGAAGGGAAGGATTTATGTTCCTTGCAGAGAGCCGGTCATTTGCACCCTTTTAGAGGGACATTGAGGCCACTTGGAGGTTTCTCTGTGTCCTCAAGTTCATTTGACTGGTGCAAAAGATCTGGAGAAAACATCCTGCAGCCAAGAAGGCTCCACCCCCTGAACTGCCACCTGTCAGAAATGGTATAGGGTCTCCTGCTTGGGGGGGTTGGACTAGATGACCTCTAAGGTCCCTTCCAACTCTGTTAACCTGTCATACTTCTGCAAACAGCAGCTGCTGCCCCATTTGGGGGCTCTGAGAGATTCACCTGGACATCCCAAGTCTTAAAAGAGAAAAAAACAGCCTCACCTGTAAAACCTGTAGTTGACATTTCCTATCATTTTAACCCTGTAGGAGCCGGAGAATTCAGGGAGGGTGATGGCAGGCAAGTCCTTCTGCAAGGTGGCGACTCCTTCTTGGCATGCTGAAAAAAAATGGGCAACTTATGTGCTGGTGGTGGTTTTTTGTTTTTTTTAACTCCTTTATCACTTCCTCATTCTTTTTTTAAGATGAAATGTGTCATATTTGTTGAGATCCTGGGTGCTGTCTTGAGATGGGTGGTTTTCTTGCAGATGTTTTATTACCCAACTAGGGAACACCATCAGTGCTAGAAGAGGTAACTTCTCTGCCTTTCACTAGCACTGATGATGTTCCCTAGATGGGCCATGAAATGTCTGCAAGAAAAGAACTGAGCTCGGAGAGCACCAGGGACCTCATAATTGTCCTTCTCTTCCTCCTCTTCTTGCTCTTAGTTGTCCTCCTCCTCCTCCTCCTCCTCCTCCTCCTCCTCCTCCTCCTCCCCACATCCCCTCTTGCTTCTAACATCGATGATGTTCCCTAGTTGCATCATGAAACATCTGCAAGAAAACCACCCAGTTCAGAAAGCACCAAGGACCACACAGCCTTTCTCTTTTGCTTCCTCCTCCTCCTCCCCCATCTCTTTCCAAACCCCACTCCCTTCTACCACTGATGATGTTCCCTAGTTGGGTCATGAGACTTCTGAAAGGAAACCACCCAGCACCACATTATTCTCTTCTTTGGTGTCTTTTTTTAAAAGACCAGTGGCAGCTCAATGAACTTCGATGTGGTAGAAGCCACCACTCCCCACAGGGACGTCTCCCTCAAGCCGTTGTGCCCCTCTGCCCAATGGTGGGCCAGTTGTATCTTCATTCATCCCATGTCAAAAGAATCTCCTGTTGGTTACAAGCAACTTCACGGCTCTTTTTACACAGGTTGCAACGCAGGTTAAAAAGAGATGGGATTTCCATCCCGCCTAGCAACTACCTCCTTCTTGGATCACCACCAGATTGTATCCGATGTTTGCAATCAGTCCGTCACAAGTAAACAGTCTAAAACAGTGTGTCAGGTTTCCAAGTGATGAAATCCATTTCAAAAAGAAAAGAACAAAGTCCATCTTGCAAAACAATTTCTTTTATTTAGGAAAGCATCAAATTGGCAAAGTCCGTAGTAATTTCGGATTTGACACAACCCCGTAATATTAGAAGTTAGAAACAACCCCCCAAAAGTCACATTCTCCAATAGAGAATGTGCAAACCTGGCCATTAAATCTCTAAAACCTTAAATCTCTAAAAAAATAATAATAACCCACCAAACCTTGGCTCTTTTTTTTGAGAGAGAGGTATAGTTTGTTAGAGATCAAGTCAGGGGCAGGGTGCTAATGTTATGGCTGGTTCGGTGAACTCATCAAGGAGAGAAACAACCTGGAAATAAGGAGACATTTCCAGATGGTGAGGACAATTAACCAGTGGAACAGCTTGCCACCAGAAATTGTGGGTGCTCCATCACTTGGAGGCTTTCAAGGTGAGGCTGGACAGACGCTTGTCTGAAATAGTGTAGGGCTTCCTGTCTAAGCAGGGGGTTGGACTAGAAGACCTCCAAGGTCCCTTCCAGCTGAATTGAATAATCTAATGAAAAGAGGGGTTAGGGGTGACCTGATGGCATTTTCAATATTTGAGGAGCTGTTACAGAGAAGAGGGGGGTCGTTCTCTGCAGGCAGGACAAGAAGCAACAGATGGAAAGATCTCCAAAGAAAGATTCCGACGGAGAATTAAGGAGAAACTTTCGGGCAGTGAGAAACAATCAACCGGTGGAGCAGAAGCTGCCTGTCAGGAGCTGTGGGTGCTCCAACATTGGAGGCTTTCAGGAAGAGACTGGGCAGCCATTGGTCAGGAATGATATAGAACCTCCTGCCTGAGCAGGGGGTTAGACTAGAAGACCTCCAAGGTCCCTTCCAACTGTTCTAAACGAGAGAGTCACTTTTGAGTCACCCCACCCTGTTCTCCTTGCACCCCACCCGTTGTCCGACGGTTGGCTGTGGGGCAGAGAGGGGGCTCTACTGGAAAGAACAGCTGAGTACCTACCATAGTCCAATCCTTTCTTGGTGATCCTGCCTGCAAAACCTGGGTTTACGCCCTCAGAGGAGGACAGGAACCAGCAAATCCCGAGCACCAGAAGGCTTTCCCTGCGCATCTTCCCACCTCCAAACTCCTGGAGACCTTCTGCTCAGACCAGGATGGGTGTCTGGAGTCGCCCTGCCGCTGGGTGCCTCTAATGCAGAGAAACAGGAACCAAACTCTCCCCACTGCCACCTTTGAGAAGAAGCAGGAAGCTGCACTCTCGTTCCGGAAAGCGGCTTTCCCTGGTTGACCCGTTCCCAGCCTAGATTTGGAATGGGATTTCCCCCCCCCCCCAGAGGCACTTCGGATGGGGGACAATGTCCAGTGGCTGCCTGGACATTGCCATCCCGTGACTCACAACAGAGATTGTGGCTTTGATGCTCAGGGTGACGCCGGTTGGATAGAAAGCAAACATCAGAGCATGGTTTAGTATATTTATGTTTTACTTTATTTGTTTGATTTGTCAATTGCTTACAAGATAACAGGTATAAGTATAAACATAGTTACGAAAACATGAAATGGGTACATATAAGAAAAACAAAAGGAACAATAGGACAGGGACGGTAGGCACGATTGGTGCACTTATGCACGCCCCCTACAGATCTCTTAGGAAAGGGGTGAGGTCAAGGTTAAAATGTTTGGGGTTTGGGGAAGAAACCACAGAGTCAGAATAGAACAGAAGAACTGAGTTGGAAGGGACCTTGGAGGTCTTCCAACCCCTGCTCAGGCAGGAATCCCTATCCTATTTCAGGCAAATGGTCATCCAATCTCTTCATAATTCCAGTGTTGGAATAGAATGCCTTTATTGTCATTGCATTCCACGAATACAATGAAATTTGAAAGCTACTCCAGCGCAGTGCCCTAAACACCACATCACAATCACGCTACAGAGTATTTAAAAATTAGAACAATTACAATAATAATAATAGGACTAAATCACAAACGCACTGTTTGATTCAAGACAATTGCTGCCTTGGGAAAAAAAAAACTGTTTCTCAATCTATTAGTCCTCATTTTAAGACACCTGTAACGCCTCCCTGATGGTGAAGTTGGAGGATTCACAACTTCTGGAGGCAAATTATTCCATGGATGAATTGTTCCCCATTATCAAATAATTCCTCATTAGTTCCAGGTTGCTTCTCTCCTTGATGAGTTTCCACCTGCTGCTTCTTATCTTCCCTTCTGGTGCTTTGAAGAATAGCTTGCGGATGCCCTCTTCTTTGGGGCAGTCCCTCAAATATTGGAAGATGCTCTCCTGTCTCCCCTGGTCCTTCTCTTCCCTAGACTAGCCAGGCCCAGTTCCTGCAACCATTTGTTGTATGTTTTAGCCTCCAGCCCCCTCATCATCCTGGTTGCTCTTCTCTGCACTCTTTCTAGAATTTCTAGATCTTTTTTACATCGTGGCGACCAAAACTGGACACAAGATTCCAAGTGTGGCCTTACCAAGGCCTTATAAAGTGGTATTAATACTTCACGTGATCTCTATCATTGTAAAATGGTCATTGTAAAAGATTGCCAGTAGAATATAGAATAACCGAATTGAAAGGGACCTCGGAGGTCTTCTAGTCCAACCCCCTACTTGAGCAGGAGACTTTGCCATTCCAGACAAATGGCTGTCCATTCTTTTCTTAGTTTAGTCTAGTCTTTATCGTCATTGCACCTCGTACAACGAAATCAAACACCGTCTTCAGTGCACGTCATGACCAAGAAAATAAACACAAACCCACATCCTTCACCCTCCACACATTGAATTGAAAACCCACGACACCACACCAACATTACACTATACAGTAGAATTCAACAGGGCTACTGCCCTGGGATAGAAGCTGTTTTTCTGCCTATCTGTTCTTGTTTTTAAAAGCCTCCATTTTTTGAGCACCCAGAACTTCCACTGGCTGATTCTTAGGAAATTCCTCCTTGGTTCTAGCAATGCTTCACCAGAGGACTTCACCAATGTGAAGAGTTCCACAATTCTTGAAAACAATTTTATTGATTTTTAAAAACAAACAAAACAGACAAAACATAAAAACATCCAACTTTCTTTCATAAATATACAAACAGTGTATCGGTTGGTTTACCAATTTTTTGTGCATCCATTTCGTGGTCGCAATTACAATTACATTACATAATATCTCATATTGTCAATCAGAAATTATATACCTTAATATCACTATTAAACAATCATTTGACCATGATTTTATTCATTCATACTTTACGAGATAACTATAGTTTACTTAGTTTATTTTATAACAAATCATATAGTCATACCAAATCTATCCTAATAACATTTTATAAATATAATATCAAAAAAGAAAAGAAATAAATCTTTATATATTCATTATTTTCTAAAATTCTAAATATTCTATTATTGTATTTTATTATCTAACCATTGGTAGAAAAGGTCCCATATTTTATAGAATTGTTTATCATCTTGTTCTCTAATTTCAAATGTCAATCTACTCATTTCTAGCACATTCCAATATTTTCTTAATGATTTCCTCCTGGGATGGTATTTTCTCATTTTTCCAGTTTTTAGCAAATACAATCCTAGCCGCTGTTAATACATTTACAATCAGGTATTTCAATTCTTCACGAGAGGACCAACACCGAAGATCTCCTCCTCTGAAGATCCCATCTGGATCCCATTTACTTCTTCCTTCTCCAGGACTTTTAATACAAGGATGGCAGCACCCGTCCAATGAACCATTTGTCTGGAATGGTCTAGCTAGGGCAGGAGTTGGCAACCCGTGGCTCTGGAGCCGCATGGGACTCTTTCATCCCTCTGCTGTGGCTCCCTGTCACCAGTCAGCATCACAATTTTGAGAGGAGCTTCTAGTTGAGGGTGGGTGGGAAACATGGTGCGTCAGGAGACACTTTATGGCACGGGTGGGGGGGTTTCTGGTTGGCTCCACAATTGATAGGGCTTTGGGTTAGGACAGGTAGAAGAAAAAGGACGCCACGCTAGGAGGAGACTCTATGGTGGAGGGAACCAGACTTCCGGTCAGCAGAGAAAAAAAAAAGGATGCAGTGCTAGGAGGAGACTCTATGGTGGGAGGACTGGACTTCCAGTCAGCAGAGGAAAAAGGATGCTGTGCTAGGAGGAGACTCTATGGTGGGAGGACTGGACTTCCAGTCAGCAGAGGAAAAAGGACGCCGTGCTAGGAGGAGACTCTATGGTGGGAGGACTGGACTTCCAGTCAGCAGAGGAAAAAGGACGCCGTGCATGGAGGAGACTCTATGGTGGGAGGACTGGACTTCCAGCCAGCAGAGGAAAAAGGACGCCGTGCTAGGAGGAGACTCTATGGTGGGGGAACTGGACAGCTCCAGAATTGAACAAGGGGATTCCCGTTAGAATCTTTGTGGCTTTTTTGAGTGTTTAAGGTTGCTGACCCCTGAGCTAGGGGTCTCCTGCTTGGCCAGGGGGTTGGACTAGACCAGTGGTGAAAATTTCAGTGGTCCGCAGAGAAATGTCACTCTCAAAGCAATTAATCCAGGCTGCACAGGAACACAAGGCTGCGCTGCCCACATGGCCTGTGGGAACACAAGGCTTGTGTCGCTTGCATTGCGCACAGCACGAGGGAGTGAGAGGAGGGGGGAAAGGGTGGAGGGGGGAACTTGCCCCACTCGCCCCACGCGCCTGGCCTGGCCACCAGGCTGCTTCTTTCCGCTTCTTCCTTCTTCTGCTCTTGGCTGCACGCAAGGAAAGCAGCAGAAGTCTTTCTTTCTCTCCCCCAAACTCCACC